ACAAATGGTTGTGAGCCACCATGTGGTTGCTGGGAATTGAACTCAGGACCTCTGGAAGAGCAGTCAGTGCTCTTAACCTCTGAGCCATCTCTCCAGCCCTCCTCCTCTTTCTTATCGATTGGATTCCCGGAGCTCAGCCTGGGGCCCAGCCATGGATCTCTTCAACTGCTTACATCAGTCACTGGATGAAGGCTCTATGATGACAGGGTATTCACTAGTCTGGTCACCAGAGTAGACCAGTCCAGGCACTCTCTCGACCATTGCTAGTAGTCCAAGGTGGAGTCATCCTTGTGGATTCCTGACAACTTCCCCGGCACCCTGCCTCTTCCTATTCTCATGATATCTTCATTTATCATGGTATCTCTTTCCCTGTTCCAGCTCGAACCTCCCTTTTCCTTATGTTCTCATCTCCCATTCATTGCCCTTCATTACCTCAACCCAACTCCCAGTTTGCTCATGTAGATCTCATCTATTTCTCCTTCGCTGGGCTATCTATGTGCTACTCTTAGGGTCCTCCTTGTTAGCTAGCTTCTCTGGAGCTGTGGGTTGTAGTCTAGTTATCCTTTGCCTTACATCTAGTAACCACTTATGAGTGAGTACATACCATGTTTGCCCTTCTGAGTCTGGGTTACCTCACTCAGGATATTTTCTAGTTCCATCCATTTGCCTACAAATTTCATGCTGTCATTGTTTTTCTCTGCTGAGTAGTACTCCATTGTATATATGTGCCACATTTTCTTTATATATTCTTCCCTTGAGGGCCATCTAGGTGGTTTCCAGTTTTTGGCTATTACAAATAATGCTGCTATGAACGTAGTTGAGCATGTGTCCTTGTGGTAAGACTGAGCATTCCTTGGGTATATGTCCAAGAGTAGTATAGCTGGGTCCTGAGGTAGATTGATTCCCAATTTTCTGGGAAACCGCCATACTGATTTCCAGAGTGGCTATACAAGTTTGCAGTCCCACCAACAATGGAGAAGTGTTCCCTTTGTTCCGCATCCTCTCCAGCATAAGCTGTCTTCAGTGTTTTTGATCATAGCCATTCTGAGAGGTGTAATATGGTATCTCAGAGTCATTTTGCTTTGCATTTCCCTGATGACTAAGAATGTTGAGCAACTCTTTAAATGTCTTTCAGCCATTTGAGATTCTTCTGTTGCAAATTCTCTGTTAAGCTCTGTAACTCATTTTTTAATTGGGTTGTTCATTATTTTGATGTCTAGTTTCTTGAGTTCTTTATATATTTTGGAGATAAGCCCTCTGTCAGATGTGGGGTTGGTGAAGATCTTTTCCCATTCTGTAGGCTGTCTTTTTGTCTTATTGACCGTGTCCTTTGCCCTACAAAAGCTTCTCAGTTTGATTTATTAATTGTTGCTCTCAGTGTCTGTGTTACTGGTGTTATAGTTAGGAAGTGGTCTCCTGTGCCAATGCATTCAAGACTACTTCCTACTTTCTCTTCTATCAAGTTGAGTGTAACTGGATTTATGTTGAGATTTTTGATCTGCTTCCAAGCTGTTTTTATTGCTATAGCTCTATAGTAGTGAGGTCAGGGATCATGATGCCTCCAGAAGTTGCTGTATTATACAGGATTCTTTTGGTTATCCTGGTTTTTTTTTTTTTCCATATGAAGTTGAGTATTGTTCTCTCCAGGTCTGTGAAGAATTATGTTGGGATTTTAATTATGATTGCATTGAATCTGTAGATTGCTTTTGGTAAGATTGCCATTTTTACTATATTAATACTACCTATTCCATGAGCATGGGAGATCTTTCCATTTTCTGATATCTTCTTAAATTTCTTTCTTCAGAGACTTAAAGTTCTTATCATACATGCCCTTCACTTGTTTAGTTCGAGTTACCCCAAGGTATTTTATATTTTTTGTGGCTATTATAAAGGGTGCTATTTCTCTGATTTCTTTCTCAGCCCATTTATCATTTGTATAAAGGAGGGCTACTTATTTTTTTGAGTTAATGTTGTATCCTGCCACTTTACTGAAGGTGTTTATCAGCTGTAGGAGGTCCCTGGTAGAACTTTTGGGGCCACTTATGTATACTGTCATATCTGCAAATAGGGAAAGTTTGACTTCTTCCTTTCTAACTTGTATTCCCTTGATCTCCTTTTGTTGTCTTATTGCTCTAGCTAGAACTTCAAGTACTATATTGAATAAGTATGGAGAGAGTGGACAGCCTTGTCTTGTTCCTGATTTTAGTGGAATCACTTTGAGTTTCTCTCCATTTAATTTGTTGTTGGCTGTCGGCTTGCTGTAAATTGCCTTTATTATGTTTAGGTATATTCCTTGTATTCCTGATCTCTCCAAGACCTTTATCATGAAGTGGTGTTGGATTTTGTCAAAGGCTTTTCAGCATCTAATGAGATGATCATGTGGGTTTTTTTCTAGTGTTTGCTTATATGGTGTATTACATTGACAGATTTTCATATGTTGAACCATCCTTGTATCCCTGAGATGAAGCCTACTTGGTTATGGTGGATAATTTTTTTGATGTGTTCTTGGATTTGGTTAGCCAGTATTTTATTGAGTATTTTTGCATTAACGTTTATGAGGGAGATTGGTTTGTAATTTTCTTTCTTTGTTGCATCTTTGTGTGGTTTGGATATCAGGGTAACTGTAGCCTCATAAAGAGTTTGGTAATGTTCCTTCTGTTTTTATTGTGTGAAACAATTTGAAGAGTATTGGTATTAGCTCTTCTTTGAAAATGTGTAGAATTCTGTACTGAAACCATCTGACCCTGGGTTTTTTTTGGTTGGGAGACTTTTAATGACTGTTTTTATTTCCTTAGGGGTTATTGGTCTATTTAAATAGTTTTTCTGGTCTTGGTTTAACTTTGGTATGTGGTACCTATCCAGAAAATTGTCCATTTCTTTTAGATTTTCCAATTTTGTGGAGAAATCTGGAACACCATGAAAAGATCAAACCTAAAAATAATAGGAATAGAAGAAGGAGAAGAATACCAACTCAAAGACACAGAAAATATATTCAACAAAATCATAGAAGAAAACTTTCCCAACCTAAAGAAGGAAATACCTATAAATATGCAAGAAGCTGACAGATCACCAAATAGATTGGATCCAAAAAAAAAAAAGGTCCCCTCTCCACATAATAATCAAACCACTAAACATACAAAATAAAGAAAAAATTTTTAAGAGCTGCAAAGAAAAAAGGCCAAGTAACATAAGAATAACACCTGACTTCTCAATGGAGACACTAAAAACCAGAAGGTCCTGGACAGACGTTATGCAGACACTAAGAGACCACGGATGCCAACCCAGACTATTATACCCAGCAAAACTCACAATCACCATAGATGGAATAAACAAAATATTCCATGATAAAACCAGATTTAAACAATATCTTTCCACAAGTCCAGCCCTACAGAAAACACTAGAAGGAAAAATCCAACCTAATGAAGTTAGATACACCCATGAAAACATAGGCAATAGATAGTCCCACACCAACAAATACCAAATAAGGGAAACACACAACACTACCACCAAAAAATAACAGGAATTAACATTGACTGGTCATTAATATCCATTAATATCAATGGTCTCATTTCACCTATAAATAGACAACAGGCTAACAGAATTGATACGAAAACAAGATACATCCTTCTGCTGCATACAAGAAACACATCTCAACTTCAAAGACATTTCAGACACTACCTCAGAGTGAAAGGCTGGGAAAAGACTTTCCAGTCAAATAGACTTAAGAAGCAAGCTGGTGTAGCTATCCTAATATCTAATAAAATAGATTTCAAACTAAAAATCAATCAAAAGAGATCAAGAAGGACATTACATATTTATCACAGGGAAAATCCATCAAGATAAAGTCTCAATTCTGAACATTTTGTGTTATGACTTTGCTGACTTTATTGGTTTTTTTTGACTGATGGATCTATTTCCTCTATTGTGTTTTCAACACCAGGGATTTACTGATTTCTTCCAATTTTTTTGTTTGTCTTTTCCTGATTTCTTTAAGGGAATTATTCATTTCCTCTTTAAGGACCCCTATCATCTTCTTAATGTCATTTTTAAGGTTAATTTCTTCTGTTTCTTCTGCGTTGGGATGTTTGGATCTTGCTGATATAGTAGGTTCTGATGGAGCCATATCCTGCAATGAGTGGTGGTGTAGGGGCACAGGGTTGTGCCCCTGGGCCCAAAGCCTAGAGACTGGGGTGTTCGGGTATGAGGACAGACTCACCTCTTAGTCCAATCAGTTCTGTCTCTGTTCTTGACATTTTTTGGATTCCCCTTTTTAATTCATTTCACTGACAAGAGACCTGGAGAGTTGTGGCTTTGTGCTACTGTGGTTTGAGTGGGCATTCTGGGGGTTTGTTATCTGACAGTCCAGCCTCACTTGTGAAATCTTGAGTAAGGTACTTCTGTGTGAGTTATTTCCTCTTCTGAGAAGTGAGGGTAATGACATGACACATGAAATATTTAACACAGTGTAAGGTCTGTACCCTGTAGCTTAGTAGTCCATACCACATACATTTGTGCTAGAATCCAGACTTGAAATTACATTTCAGAACTTTAAATTTATATCTTTCCCTTCAGTGTGGCATCTGTAATATCTCCCTGCTTTGTAAGTAATTGCTTCTGTTATCTTACAGAGAGTGGTGGCATGAAGCTCAAAACAGCAAGAAGGTTGCAGCCAATCCCCATGACACCAAAGTAAAAAAAAAATTACGGAAGTTGCAGCTGACACCTGGCTTCCCTAACCCTGCGGTTGCAGACGCCTACCTTAGGCCTGTGGTGGATGACTCCAGGGGATCGTTTCTATGGGGCAAACCTGATGTTGAAAAGATTAGAGAATATCCTTTCTTAAAATTTATGGGAATATTAAGCCACAGATTTGTTGGGTTTAAAACTTAGGGGACAGGAAACTAGTTTTATTTTTTTCTCCAGTGTTCCATTATCTGAGACCCTATTAATTCTTTCCCTCTTTAGTTTTACTGAGGCTTGGCTTTCCTTTCCTTCTTTCCTTTCCTT